CAAGAGTTCTGAATGTCCCCAGATACCTGCAGGCAGCTGGAATGGCATCTGACACACAGGACGGCTGGTTCCTGTTGGCCTAGGTGAGGAATGGACCTATCTATTTTCTACGAGGCAACCTAAAAATTCTCCCCCTGTGTAATGTTCTGTGCAGCAAAGACTAGGTAACTCCTTGCCAAAATGGTAAGAATAACTATTTCGTAGGGCCTGGGGGGTGATTACTTGGTGATTTGAGTGGGTTCCCACATGTGCCGTTTTGAAGTTGTCCTGTGCCAAATCATCTTGAGTGATTACGGTTTGAAGTTAAGCATTGCCCACTTAAGTATTTACATTTTTCTCTCCAGTAATCCTGGGGGTTGCAATGAAGACAAAGAATGGCCAGATGGCCTGGGTTTAATGCCTAGGTCTGCCCCACACCATCATCTTGGGCAAGCAGTTAACCTCTCTGAACCTCAGTGTCCTCATCTGTGAAGTGGTAATCATAGCAGTGCTGAATTCACAGGGCTTTCCTGAGCATGGGATGAAGTCACCTGTGTAGGATAACTAGTTTTGTTGTATTGTCTTAAATGTGATTTATTGACCATGAATTTTCCTCTAAGATGACTGGTAGAACCCCAACATTTTTAGTGCTCAGGAGAGGAGGACAGGGGGAGAATAAGAGAGATGGGGCACAGAAAGTGGGAAATGAGTGGCTGATAGGGACCCAGAGGAAGGAGAGCATTATGGAGTCTCCTTAGTCACCACCTGATCCTTTTTCCTACCTGGTTGGTTTTGGGGCACTATAGGAAAGGTTTCTGAGTCACAAGGGCCTCCTGAACCTTAGTTGTGCTTCGTTTGATTGCCTTGGTGATGGCTTCCTCCTGGTCCCCCATCATGTGATATAACTAGGCCAATTAAAGTTGTGAAAGTTTTCTGACCCACTTGCAGCCCATCCCTTTTTGGGCCACTCAAATGGCAGGCTTTTTGGATGCTTGTTGAACTCTTTGCAGGATTTGTGGTGGGTGGGCATCTAGAAAAGAGGGCACTTTGATGAGTCACTGCATTGTTCCCAGTCCTCAGCTGGCCCTACCACCTGAGAATGTGAGGTGCTCCCACCTGAGAATGATAACAGCAACAACAAACTCCAGTTGGGGACTGGAACAAGGTTGGGCTGAGCAGTCCCAGATTGCTCTACCTTATGTCACTTGCCTGCAAGGGAAATGAGCTACAGCAAGTAAGTTAGGAGGTCCCGGGTCTGAGTCCCTTCCTATTTCCATGCAATTTAGCATGAGTGATCTTAACAGGACCAGTTAGAAACCATTCTCCTTCTGTGTGCAAGTACCTTGACAATCCTAATATGTGGCAGGAACCATTCTGCTCTTGTCCTTTAAGAAAAGACTTGCCAGTCTCTACAATACAGTTAGGGCTGCTCTTAGCTTTCTGCTTGTTTCTAGAACTCCCAGATCTAATTCCTCTTCTTTATTAGATCTTGCTTTCTTAAACTGATCTAATTTCTAAGCAACTAAACAAGATTGGAATAGGACAGGTGGGCCATAAGGGGCACTCCCTTTCCTCTGTGGCTCCTGGCGTGGCCCCTGGGGGAAGCACCAACAGTTTGAACTTAGAAACTGCTTTGAGCTCAGAACTTTCTCGTCTTATAGCAGCTGCAGACATGTGGGGGCCAGGCACAGCGCCCAGAGCCGAATGCCAGCAGTATCTTGTAAACTGCTTATTTCCAGTTGTCAAGGTTCTTCACACCCCTGGAGGGGGGAACCTGGCTCAGAACCTGTGGTCCATGTGGTCGGAGTCAACACAAACCAGGCTGCGGCAGCAGACTTCACTTTTCCTGGCAAGCAGCCCCCACAGCTTCCACAAGCTTCTTCTGGGCCCAAAGATCTCACATGCTCTTGCCTTTGGATGAGACTAGCAATGGAACCTTCTGGGATGATAAATTCCAGAACTCTGGATGTCCTACGCTGGGATGAATGCCTATTCTGCTTGCAAGTACATCCCGTGAATCTATTCTTCATGCTCCAGATCTCCCACAGTTTGGAGAAAGTTCTTCCAAAAACACTAAAAACTTTGGGGCTTTCTTCAGTGACCTTTTCCTCCCAGTTTCTCTGTAGTGAAGTAGTAGAGGGGCCACTTTCCCTCCTTCACTTGCTCATGGTCCATTAGTGGGAAGAGCCGTTCCATTATCTGAGCCCTAATGAACCCACTAACTGGAATGAGAAGGGCTTGTGGGGGCGATTTAATTTGAAATTCAATGGCCCAGTTATTCTAGTGGGCTTTAATCTGGACCCCAGAGCCCACAGAGACACGTGTACCATGGCAGTCAGAGAGGTGTGCTGCTGTTGGAGAGGACCAGGGGCAGGGAGGAGGAGGCGAGCAGAGAAAGGAGGTAGGCCAGAGGAGCCCAGCTCCCAGTCAGTACTGCCCATTGTTCTGTTCGTAGTTATACTCCTTCAAATGACCCAGGCCCAGACTACAGTTCTGCATGCTCTGTGGTTAGCAGCTTCAGGGGCCTTAATCACACTCCTCCAGCTTTTAGACTTAATTCAAAATGTTCTAGAGAAAAACTTTGGCTTGCCTGTGGGTAGCTCGATGGCCTACTTCCATGTGGTAATAGGTGGTTCAGGCTGCTACTCCAGATACCTCATAGCCAAGGGGCACAGGATGGTCATCTTGGGACAAATCTTATATTAAAAAAAAAAAAACCAGGTCTAAGTTGAATGCCTATTGCTGAGCGTGTTGGGTATTTATTCATTGGTATATTCCTTTATTAATTCATCCAGCTAGCCTACATTCAGAATCAGGAGCTTCCCATATTCCCTCTACACAAACCCCTTAATTGGGGGTCCCATTGCTTCAATTACAGGCTCTGATTGCGCTTGTTGAAGTGGAGTTGTTTCTTCTCTTTCCTGAGGCCAGAGTTCCCTCTTGTCTCCTCAGCAACTATGGCTCTCTCTACTGGCTCTCTCTCAGCATCTCTGGGTTCAAGTCTTTTCAGTGGTGAACATTCCTTTGGAATCCCTAACCTCTCCAGCTTCAACGTCCCCTCTCCTCCTGTTCCCAGCCAAATATGCAGACACCCGCTCCTTCCAGCCAAATCTGGCTCCCAGCCCTACACACCTGAGACTGCTTTCACACAGGTCAACAGCGTGAGTCTATCCAGCATGCTCTCCGTCCTTACCCGAGTGGCCACGGTGCCCATCGACCTCTACTTTCTGGGATCACCTGGTCTATAGATGTCACTTTCTCTTCATTGATTCTTGCCTTTCTGGTGGCTCCTCACTGACTTCTCTACTTAGTCCTTAAATGTGCCTCCCGGGGCTCTGTTCCTCTCTCCCTCTCCCCACGCCCGTGGTTTTAGTTTACCTTCCTATCCCAACAACTTGCTACACCATATCCTCCACCCAGGACTCTGTCTTCTCTGCAGCTGTCTGCAGCCCAAAGGCAGGTCAAATTTTACATTTCTGTTGCCATCTCCAAAAATCAGAGTCTCCCACATTCTTTCCTGTCTTACTTCCCTAATTGCTCCCAAGCTTCCCTCCCCACACTCCTCACATCCACCCAGAGTGGAAGATTCTAGAGTTGTAAGCATCTCTCCATGACCCCCAACACCCAGAGTTGGAGTCCAAGTCACCTTTGTCTGTCTCCTGGACTTCCAGGCATCATTGGCCTCCCCACATCCACTCTTGTTCCCTCCAATTCATTTCCCACAGTGTAACCTGAATGATCTTTCTAGAATGCAGGGATGGTCATGTCACTCTTCTGCTTAAAGCCTCCCAACCATCTTAGGGTTACCTTTAAAATGAAGTGTAAAATATTTAATCTGACTGTTGAGACCCTTCACAACCACACTCTGTTCTTCTCTAGCTACTTTTTTTTTTCTTTCTAGAACATTCTTTCCAAGATTGATCTCTTGGCAAGCCTATGGTAGGCTTTTATAGACTTAATTGTGTCCCTCTCCCCTTAATTCACATGCTGAAATTCCTAATCCTTAGTACTCAGAGGCGAGTGCCTTGGGAGATAGGGCCTTCAAAGATGTACGTTAGAATGAAGTCATTAAAGTGGCTTTGATCCAATCTGACTGGTGTCCTTATAAGAAGAGGAGATGAAAACATAGACACACAGAAAGGGAAGATCATGACACTAGAAGAAGACAATCATGGGCTAGCCAAGAAGAGATTCTCAGAAGAAATGAACTGCTCTAACACCTTGCCAGCCCCTGCCCCAGGCTTCTAGGCTCCAGAATTATGAGGAAATATCTTTTTATTGTTTGAACTACCAGTCCCTCTTTGTTGTAGCAGCTCTAGCAAACTCATACATAGGCTTTGAAGGCTGTTTAAATTTCATCTAGTCAAGGAAGACTTTTTTTACTAACCCTCATAAAGTCTTTCCAGGCCCTAGACTTCCCTTTTATAACTCTTCTCACACGTGGCAGGATTTTTTCAGCAGCTCTGTTCCTTGCCAGTCTTTGAGGTTCTATGAGAGTGGAAACTTGTATTTGTCCTGTTTATGACTCTATTGCTAGTGCCTAGCACATTGCCTGATATCTGGAAGACATTCTAGTAAGTATATGTCCATGATCAGCTGAATAAACAAGTGAACCAACCTGAACATATTAATAGGGGAATCCTCTGAGCCGGAGACTGCTGCTTCATGCAAACTGCCTCAACCACAGAATTGGACCACAACTGCTGGGTGTGAGAAAGACAATGGGAGCCCGGATGATCAATCTAGTCTATACCCTTAGTAGTAATTATTGATCAGGAGTCAATTGAAATGAGATCAAAATTTCAAAATACTATTAAAGGGAATGGTAGTGTGTATTCCATAATCAGGTTCTATTGGACCTCTTTATCAGACCTCTGTAGTGAAGTGCCTACCTGGTAAAGGTCAGATAAGAAGCTGCATTAATGGAGGGGGAGTTCTGGGGAGAGACAGTCAGAAGGAAGGTTGTGGCAAGTGGAACTGTCTTTACCCAAGGCTGATTTTTCCACAGGATCTCCCTGGAATCAGAAGAGCCCAACAGGCTGCTCCTGTCTCACAGCTACCAAAGATGGAAGGGGAGATTCCAGAGGGTTCCTCATGTACCTCAGTGCATGTCTCTTTGGACCAGATTTCTCTCTGAAGTTTGACCTTTCAAACTGAGATACCAAGCTTCTTCAGAAAAGGAAGGTAAATAGGTACCTGGGGTCTTCCTTTGTCCCTTTTCCCATTTTCCCATTTTACTCCTTTCCCAAACGCTCCCTTACTTCAACTTTTCCATTTTCTCTCCAGCCTCAGAGTCTGAAGGACACTGGCCCAGGCTCACAAAATGTGACCCCCTCCCGCCAGCATAGGGCTGAGGTAGGCATGTGGGCCCACCAAATTCACTCTTGGGGAGTTGGACTTGGGCTCAGCAATGGCCAGTTGGCTTCTGCAGACAGCAGGAGCGAGGGATAGACATACACAGTCGTAAGAACCTGGGGTTTTCGTGTGTAGCCACCTGTGCCTAGAAGTGGAGAATGCTGGGCTGTGGAGAAGGAAAGAGAGCAGAGATAAGGGGTGGGCAGGGAGGAGTGGGGGTGGGCCAGCAGGAAGAGAATGGCCTGGCTTCCCAAGATTTCTAGTTCTGTTCCAGAATGTTCATGAGGCCCATCCGCAGGGATTTCTGTGGATCTCCCAGCCCCTCTCTTGACCATGGCTGCCACTATTTTCTTTAAGCTGTTTTGAGTTGGTTTCCACTTTTCTTTCTTCCGTTTCCCTTTCTTTCTCTCCCTCTCTCTCCCCGGGCCCTCCCTCCCTTTGCTCTCTAATCCTCTTCTCCCCTCCTTTTCTCTTCCATTCCTTTCTAGTGACTGCACCTGAAGTGATCAGGGCTGGTAACAAAGAGCCCAGGCTGTAGACACCAGCTGTCCTGCCACGGGTTTCTTCCCAAGCTTGGGATTCCATCCTTTCACGTTCAGCCATGTGGCGAGAGGCCTCCTCCTCGGGCTTGGCCAAGGCAGTCTGGTTTTCTTCTCTGGTTTCCCCTAAGTTGTGTTCCCAAATCTAGCTCTGCTTCCTTGAGCTAATCAGCGTGTTTTTCTTGTGTTTCCAAGTTCAAAACCACCACCCTGGCAATGGAAACAAGCGCTTGCTTATTTTTATTATTAAATCTGGGGCCGTCATCAGACACATTTTGTATGTGTGGCTTTCCCCCGACTGATCCTAAAAGAGAGACTGAATCCTACAGAGGGTCCTATTGTCCTCACTGGGTAGAGGTAACACAGCATGCATATGTGTATCTACATTACATATAGAATTGAATCACAGTCGTGCAATTTTAATCAAAGAGGGAGAGAATAAAACCCTTTAAGATACTTTGCTTGATCAAAATTTCTAGGCCCTATACTTCACATTTGTTAATCCTTCTGGAAGAAAAGTGCTACAGAAATGACTAAAGCGTGCTGGGTTTAGCCTATCGTTATTGAAAATGTTGTGGGTTTTTTTTTTTTTTTTTTTTTTAGTTTAATTTGAACAGCAGCATCAGCCAGGCTCACTTTAATTACAGTCTTCCGTTTCTATTGCTAGTTGCATCAAGCTCGGGAGAGTCGTAGGGTGAAGCAGGGGCTGGGTACAGGCAGGGGAAGCCTTCTTTCTGGGAGGATTTCAATTGCTTTTATATATAGTTTGTTTAGTGAGCCTATGCTTCACATACAGGGTGAACAGTTGGATTTCCAGCACAGGGCTTAGTGTGAAAGCCCTATCATTATTTATTTCTTCCCAAGGATAAACTTGCTCTGAGTTTTTGTTGTGGGGGTCCCCCACCCTCTCTGTGCCCCTGCTGGCCCTCTGAGTTATGTGAATCAAAGCTTCTCAAACAAATAGAGAAAACAGGGATGTAAGCAGGTGCTGGCTTCGGTTGGTCCCAGAGCAGCATGCTGTTGGATTCTACTGACTGTCCCTGGGACACTGATGTCCTATTGGTCACCCTGCTTCTCCCTCCAGTCCTGTTTGTATGGCCCTTCAGGCCCCTGTTCAGCCTCCACTGCTTCTGGACATCCACTGGTGCTGGACATCAACCGTCCCATGTCCTCTGGCCTCAGCACTGTGGGAACATCCTCTGTTTCTATCCTGGACCAACTCAGGAGCAAAACTCAAAAAATTCCCTCCCACAATAACACTAGTGAGCAGAGAGTTCATAGGTCAACTGAAGGAGACAGACATAAGGGATCTCACCCCAGCAAACGACTTAGAGGTTTCACTTGAGATGTTTTGTTTCTCTACCATATTTCCTAGGAGTATCTTTCTATCTCCCTGTCCCCAGGAAGTGCCCAATGCAGGTAGCTGTCCTCTCCTGTTCATGCACAGCAAAATGCAGAGTCTATTACCAAAATCTCACAAAACCCCTACAGACCCCAGCGAAACCAAATGGTTATTGAGTTGACTAGACCCATTTTTTTCAAAAAAGCCAATTTTATGATCATCTTTCATATATAGTCATGTCATTTGTCATAAGTGATGTAGCAAAATAAATCTTTCAGAGAGGTTTTTCTGCCTACAAGGGCAATAATTCCTTCTTCATGGTTGAATTTTTAATTGGGGGTTGTAAATGTCATGTTGTTTTTAACATCCATTTGAACATCCCCTCCCTTTGGGTTCCCATATTGTTCCGTCCATTGGTTCCTTCCGGAAATTATTTCTTCTCCCCTCTCAGTGCCAGACGCTACTCTGGAAGCCTGGCTGGGAGCAGAGTGGAAGGGAGGCCACTGGGAGGCAGAGGTGCTGCCAGGGCTCCACCCCACCTGTCTCCTTCCTGGCCTCAAAGTCTTCCCACTGCTTCCACTGCAGGAAAAGTCCACAGCCCTTAGCCTCGTGGTGTGTAGGGCCCTCCACAGTCTGGCATCACCTGGATTTTCCAATGTCACCTCCTACCATTTCTCTGCCCTTTCCTCCCACCAAGGATCCCCATCTAATGCCATTAGTAGAGTGTTCTTTAATATGGTTCCTAAATTGTTGGCTTCTAGAGTGCTCCAGGGTCTTCCCCTCCTCACATCCCACATCTCCTCCGTAGAAGGGCCGCATCGGCCATGAGCTTCTTGCTGGCAGAGTGCTGAGGCAGCTGTCCATGGTGAGAGATGGAGGGTCAGTGTGCATGTGGGCGAGGTCTCTTTCCTTCTTATAAAGCCATCGGTATCCAGTCTTGGGGCTCTTGACTTTTTCTGGTCAAAGAATATTTCATAGGATGCATGCAGCACAGTTTTGATACCATCCTGTCCATATTGTAGTAATTAAAAATGGGAAGCTAGAGTAGTGAGTTGGGCCCAGGACTCCATGTCCCAGGAGGAGGGGTTTGAAGCTCTCCCATCCCATCCTGTTTGGGGCAGGTGCTAACCTCTCTCTCTTTGGGACCCCTTCCCTTTGTGTCTCTAAGACCTAAGTTTGAAACAGCTTTCTCTTTCTTGAAAATTTGTATAGCTTCTACTTTTTCCGCTTCTACCCAAACTAATCATGAAGATTCCGGAAGGCCCTCTGGCGGTTCATGGAGCCTGAGGTTATTTGTTAATAGTGTCAGTTTTTCTAGCAAACTCTTAGCTAAGTCATGCCAAGACTCAGGACAAGCCTTCCACAAATTTTTCCAGTCTCATCTCCCACTTATGGGTCTTTTCACCCCCTTTCTGCCAGCGGGTAAGAAATTTTACTTGCATTTTCCCCAGAAATCTTGAACAATTCTTTTTTCTAAAAGCCATCTGACCTGGGTAGAGTTTGTATCTCTCCTGCCTAATTCATGTGTTGAAGCCTTAACCCCTGATGTGATGATATTTTGAGATGGGATCTTGGGAAGGTGAGTGGGTCATGATGGAATTAGTGCCCTTATATGCAAGAGAAATTATCTCACTCTCTACCACATGAGGATATAGCAAGAAGGTGGTATCTGAAAACAAGAAATAAGCTCTGACCAGGAATTGAATCAGCCAGCACCTTGACCATAAACTTCCCAGGTTCCAGAAACATGCAATACAAATGTTGGTTAAGCCCCCTGGTTTATGGAATTCTATGCTAGCAGAACTCAGTGGCCGAAAACATCTCTGCTTGAAAATATCATGTCAGAAGAGGAGTAGAGTTCAGAACCAAGATCCCAACTGCCCACACCAGGTCTCTTTGGCTCCGAGAGGCTAATCTGATCTCTGTGACCATGTCCTAGACATCAGAATGGCTCTGCAGAGTGCTCTTCTTCTTTCTCTGTGGGCCCCTAGATGTGATTCAGACATGCTCCCTTTTTTATATAACCCTGAAACAGGACTGTTATCTTTTCACCCCGGAGTGTGAAGCTAAGACTAGGAAGAGAGAGCCCAAAGGACTCTACCTAATTATTTTTGGACTCATCACCTGCACTAAAGATGATTCTCATGTCTGGGGTGACTGACGCTGGGGGTTGGGCTTTATTCTACACCTGCAACCGCCAACCAACCTCCACTGTCCCCCAAAGTGAACAAAGCCATGCGTGCAGGAGAGACCATAGGTGCTCAGGACATCTTAAGGCCTTGGAGGTGGGGATAGAAGAAAATGCAGACGTTTAGATACTCACCCACACCCAGTCCCAGTTTAGCAACCTGTGTTCTGTCACCACTCAAGAGTATGGCCCTCTTGGCTCAGTCCTTTGGGATGGCCTGGAAGCACATCCCCTAGACCAGCATGAGGGGCCCTCTCCGATCTTCTAGCTATTTCTTTCCTTCCCACCCAATTATTTTTCTGCCCTTTTAACTCTTTCCTTGTCTTAGTCTGTTTTGTGTTTCTATAATAGGACTCCTGAGACGGAGTAATCTATAAAGAATAGAGATTTATGTTTTGCAGTTCTGGAGGCTGGGAAGTCCAAGGTCCAGGGATGGCATTTGACAAGGGCCTTCTTGCTTTGTCACTCCATGCAGGAATGCAGAAGGGCAAGAGAGCACATGAAGGGGTGTGAAAGGGGGCTGCGGGCATCTCTTTATCCAGAACTCCATCCCATGATAACTAACCTGCTTCCTCTATAACAGCATCAATGCACTGAGGAAGACAGAGCCCTCAAAACTGGATTGCCGCTTCAAGGCCCCACTTCCAAATGCCCTTGCAGTGGGCATCATGCTGCCAACACAGGAACCCTGGGGAACCTGTTCAAATCCTCGCTTTGCTCTTTCTCCAAGATTCCTTTCCTCCTGCTCTTCCTCTTCCTCAGACTCCACTAGAATTTGAGGAGCTTAAAGTTTTCTTCTGCTCTCTTGTGAGCTTTAACCACTTTGGGTCCAGACTGGGGCCAGGCATGCCGTCCATTCTTCCACCTGGTGAAGGACACTTGTGGTGGTGACGATTCTCTGCTCTTATTTGCAATTGTCCTTGCCTCTTAAATACTTTAAGTTCCTAAAATCAACTGGATAGGTCACAAATGGCAAGGGTTTATTTCTGCCAAAAATCCTTGTCAGTTTTACATTTGAGACTCAGAGCCTCCTTGCTAGCATAACCTTGACCCTAAATTTTGAAAGGGCAAGGGTTGGAGCTAGGTCATACTGCCGCACTTCAGATACGTGACAACTGAGAGATGGTCTTCCCTGAGATGTGTCGTTTTTTATTTTATTTATTTACTTATTTATTGGTACTGGGGATTGAATCCAGGAGCGCCTAATAACTGAACCACATTCCCCACATTATTTTGAGACACAGTTTCACTAAGTTGCTTAGAGTCTTGCAAAATTGCTGAGGCTGGCTTTGAGCTTTTGATCCTCCTGCCTCAGCCTCCTGAGCCACTGGGATGACAGGGGTGGGCCACAGCACCCCGTGAGAACTGTCATTTTAAAGATGAGAAGGCTGAGTCTTACAACCTCCCGCCCCCCTCACCATGGACACCTGGTGTCCCCTCCAGGACCTCCAATGGGGAAGAAGCTCTCCTTAGAGGCAGCTGGCTCACTGTGTGGAGCATTTCTTTCCCTTATTGAAGGAAAACGTGTCTCCTCTTGTTCCTGCCCAGAGGTTCAGCCTTGCCTCCTGGATTCAGCACCTCTTCTACTGCTATTAGTTCTCACGGGAAATTGCTGGCCTCCTTCTTCCTTCCTCCAGGTAAGACTACCCTATTTCCTTCCATGGCGAGGAGCTCTGTCACCTCTGGGAATCTGCTTTAGGATTGGTTGCCTTTCCAAACAAGTAAACATGTACCCAACACTCCTGACACAGCTGCGTGGGGATTTTTTCCCACATGGATCATTTCTCAACCCTCTGGACACTGGTGTGAGCTCTACATTCAGTTATGACTCTAAGTACCTGGAGTTAGTGCTGACCCTGCGGGGTAAGGGCTCAGTCCCACAAGACCAACCCCATCTCAGAAGCTAATCGCAAGTAGTGGGTCCCCAGGTTACCTATGATTCTGTCTGATTGGCTACAAATCAGGGGTCCCCCTGAGGTTTCTCTCAGGTTCCATAACTGGCTACGCTAGCTCACGGCACTGAGAGGAAACACCGTGGTTTACTGGTTGGTTATAAAGGATGTGATAAAGGATACAGATGGAGAGCAAGATGAAGAAGTGCATAGGGCAGGGTCCAGAAGGGCCCTGAGCACAGAAGCTTCCAGTCCCTGTGGAGCTGGGGTGGGTCATCCCCAGCAGGTGGATGTGTTCACCCACCCAAAGCCCCCATCCTCTTCTTTCAGAGATTTCTGTGGAGACTTCATCACATTGGCACAATTTTGGCTACCAGCTCCACCTCCGGTCCTTCTCCCTCCCTGGAAGATGGGGAGATGGGACGTTCCAACTTGTAATCTCAGCCTGGCCATTTTGGTCACCAGTCCCCACCCAGGAACCCACAGGAGTCACTTTATCAGAAAAAAAAAAAATGATGCTCTTGCCACACAGGAAATTCCAGGGATTTAGGAGCTCTGTTAGCACCTGGGGTCAAAGACCAAGTGGTAGGGTGAAGGATGCAACTGTGGCCACCCTGTCCCTCAGTATGTCACAAGGGGGTTTTAGGAGTTCTGAGCCAAGAACTGGGGCAGAGGCCAATTCTACACGTGTGAGTGTCCTGTGTGTTTATTATGCCACACCTTCCTTCTCCCTTCATGGGCCCTGTGTACACGGGATCACAAGTGTCCTTGGGGGCCACCCTGCACTGCCTTCCACTTCCAGACCACCCAAGGGTAGCTAAGCAGGAAAAGAGGCCACCGTGCTTGGGAGTCCAGCACCGGAGATGTCACTGCCTGCCACCACTGCTCCCCAAGCTGTTCCTCTGCTCTGCGGCCAGGAGCACAGCCAGCCAGGAGCGTCGTGGGAGCCAGACAAAGACACAGATGCGGCTGCTGGAAGCTGGAAGGAGGCTCGGCCAGCCGGGCTGGGGGATGGCTCCTGGAGCACGCAGATAAAGATGTCGCCGGGAGTGGGAGCCTCTCCACCGGCCATTACCAGGCAGCGATGGCGCTGAGTGGCTATTCCCTGGTGTGGCCGGGGCGCTGTGCCATCGGGGCCTGGGCTCCAGCGGTGGCCGGCAGCATGGGTCTCACAAAAGGCTGAGCAGTTGGCATTTCCGGTTGAAAGGCAGTTTTTGGAGGGTGATTTCTTGGCTCCTCTAATTAACGAGAAGCAGAGGTTCCAGCTTGGCAGACAGAGCTGCCTCTGGCCTCGGGCACAGCTCCACGCTCCATCCTGCCTTCAAGTCTCAGAAAAAAAAAAAAAAAATCTTGGAATCAAAAGAGTCTTTAGGTAGCTCCAGTTTTCAAATTTAATAGGGACCCACAGGGCAGAATGGAGGGGCTCTGTGAGGCCCACAGCCCCCCACCCTTGCCTTTGGGAAGCACTGAGTCCCGAGCCCTTTCCCTGGTTTCCCTGCCTACCCCACAGGGTGGATTATTTCTCTGCTCTAGAGACCCCCAATCCCAGAGGAGTAAAATCTAAATGGCCCCCACACTGGCACCCAGAGTTTTCAGTGGTTTCCCGCTCAGCTGAATCAAAATAATTCCAGTCTCTGAAGGAACACTTCACTTCCCATGGAGACCTGGTCTTCTTGTCCTTAAATGCTATGGGGGCTGAGTGGAGGCCATCTCCCAGGCTGTCATTGCATTGAAGTCCAGGGCCCCAAACCCAGGCAGCCTCCAGTCCTACCATGAGCTGCTCCCACCCCCACTGCTCTTTGTCCCCAGAGTCATGGAATATCTCTGATGACTATATAAAGGAGGTCGCTGGGGCCCAGAGAGGGCAAGAGGTGTGGTCCAGGTTACACAGCAACTCCTGTTGAGCCAGGACTTCATGCATTAGAGGAGTAGAGGTTATGTAATGCCAGATTCGTGGGACCCCAGTAGACCTCCAGGAGCTGAATCCGATGCAATCACACAAGAGCTCCAGCCTGGACTCACAACTGTTTCCAACGCAGCGGTCCCAGGGACTGAGTCCTGGTCCTTTGTTCAGGGAGATTTTATAGGTTTTGGGGGGATACTCTATGCGTCACAATATCACACAGCAAATCATTCCATACCGCGGGAAAATCAAACAACAACTCTTAACATTGATTAGCACATTCATTGGCGGGAACAAGTTGGGTAGGGGTGATTGGTTAGTACAAGAGGGGGGCTCGTTTGAACTGATTGGTTTAGGCCACGAGGAGTGTACGTGCTAAACTACATGGTTTCCCAAATTATTATCAACCACCATAAACTACTGGGGGGGTCATCTGGCATTCCAGGTATTTTCCCTGTCTCATGCTGATTGGAGGTTGCTAGGGGTTGCTATGGATCCTCTCCTGGCCTGACTGAGTCATGGACACCTGGCGCTGCAGATCTCTCCAGTTATTTGCAGACAAACAACACAGCAGGGTGGGTATGTGCTTAGGAGTGCTCTGTGGGTTTTTCCAAGGACAAGGGTCATGCCCCCTCCCTCTGGACAGGCCTTGAGGTAGAAGCTGCTGCTGTAATTTATTTATTTTTTAAAAAAATGGAGTCACATTGTTTTCTCAGTTACGCCTCTCCTCTGTGCCCCTGAAAGTCCTTTCTGTGCTGGGCACACTGTGGCTACCCTTGAGTGCTGCTGCCTTGATCGATTTCCTCCCATCTCCTTTCGGTGGTTTCTTGTTGGAAGAAATGACTCTGGCATGAGCAGATCTTGTCAGAAGGAGGACCCATGGGGAGTGTGAGAGCTCTTCTGCATCCGCCCAGAGGCCTCTGCTCTGTTTCTGGCTGATCTGGAGGACCGGTGTGTTGGGGGGGGGCTGTCCCAAGGCCTTGGGTGGGGATACTTCCTGCTGTGCCTCTGGCTGCTGCTCCTGGTGATCATAAGTGATTATCTCCCCCATAAACGTGATAGATGGCCTCTCATCAGACAGAATATCCGCAGCTAAGCATATCGTGCTCATCTGCAAATCAGTTATTCTGTGTCCTGTGGCCCTGTGGAGAGGGCCCACAGGGCCAAGCCACAGTGAATGCAGGTTGCATCGCAGGATTCATGACCCGAATTACTTTTCTTCCAGAGGCTGAGCTGGTGGTGGAGGCTGCAGGGAGAGTGGGTTCCTTATTCCCTCTCATGCGTCCACCCATAGGAATTCTAACAAGAAGTTGATTGTCCAGTCTCATAAAAAGCAACACATTAGAGCCAACAAGACCTGGGGGTAAGGTGGGGGAATCCGAAGATCTGGGGCCCCAGGGAAATAGCATCCGTGGAAAGCCCACGGGCTGAGTGAGAGTCTCAGGTCTGTGTTCTAGTCCCAGACCCACTTCTAAAGTGCTATGTGATGTTGGATAAGCGGTTTGGCTTCTCTGAGTCACTACTTTCTCATCTGTAAATAATGTGTGGTTCTTCATGGCTATAAAGGAAGTGACAAAGTGATTCAGGTGCCTATGATCATAATAGGTTTTATTTACTGAATATGCATAAGGGCAATGCTCACAGCAGTGTAAGGAATCAGTACTTTTATCATTTCCACTTAAAAATCAAGGAGCACAAAGCTCAGAGAGGTTCAGTAATTTGTCTTGCCGCAGTCCGGGTGCAGCAAAATAATCCGGAGGTGACGAGCAACTTATGTAGATTGATACAGCAGGAGTGGGAGTCATTTATTGTAGGACAGGAGGGGTATATATACATTCCACACAGCTTATCTTAATTAACATAAACTAGATACAGCAGTCAACCAGTAAGGAATCTCCACACTTAAAGGCTCGCTGGCGTTACTTCACAAACCACTCCCTCTGGCAAAGTGCCAGGCGCCATCTTGACTTGTTTACAGGCCCTAACATTTCCCCCTTTTGTTTAATTTAAATAACGACCATAGTGGTTTTTACATAAACACCATAAATAATCTGCTACAAGCAGAAGGGGAGGATACAAAATGAATTCAAATATGAGTAGATCAACTCAAATCACTTAACGACTTTCAAAAGTTATTGGGAGACATAAATTGGATAAGGCCTTATCTAGGCATACCAACAGGAGAGTTGGGACCTTTATTTGATATCCTAAAAGGTCCATCAGATCCAAATTCACCCGCATGTTAACGTCTGAAGCAAGAAAAGCATTAAAAATTATTGAAACATATATGGAAAATATGCATTTGGATAGAATTGATATAAGTTTGCCTTTATTATTTATTGTACTACCAACAAAAAATATTCCTATAGGAGTATTTTGGCAAGAAGGTCCATTATTGTGGATACATTTATCTTATTCTCCTAACACTATTCTTACTAGGTATCCTGAGGCTGTAGGACAATTAATACTCAAAGGAATAAAAGCAGCAAAGGGAGTATTTGGAATTTATCCCAATAAAATTATTACTGCATATACTATGGATCAAATAGATGAGTTAGCTAATGAGTTAAATACTTGGGCAATAATCATGTGTAAATCTAATGTTTCATTTGATAATCACTTACCATCTAATCCTTTGTTGTCTTTTTGGTCCTCACATCCTGTAGTTTTTCCAAAAATGACAAGAAAAACACCTATCATGAAAGCTCCAAATATATTCACTGATGGGTCAAATAATGGTACAGCAGCAGTAGTTACCCCTGATCAAACTTTTCCATTTTTAGTACCCAAACAATCAGCTCA